GGCCGAGTCGCCTCCTTGCAGTAGGCCAACAACATGCGTGATATTCGGTTTGGCAATACTGAATCGTTAACTTTGTTAGTGATCGATAAAAGTTTATATTTCTCTTCTTGCCCAAAACAGCCAAACATGCACATTATGAACTCAAGTCACCCAAGGTTGTTCAAGGTGATGCAAGTACTGATAGTTGCATTTTTCACAAACCGATTTCGAAACCCACTTGGGGTAATAATGAGGCCTATTCTGAGTCAATAATTCAGTCTATTCTATCTCTGAGACATCCTTTCGGAATAAAAAACTATACGAAATTCAATGATTTCATAAAGACTATTTATTTAATTTTGAGGAATTCAACTATCCCTCTTTCGCTCTTCCTACCTCTTATCAGCTTAAATGGCCAAGACTGACTCGAGATCTTATTCATGATATACTGATAAATTTGAAACCTACTAACTCACCATATTTAATTACAAGGTTACCAGCGTTAGAGATCCTCGACAGAGCTTGTCTTGATATCCTGCACCACTGTGACATCAGTCATTTCTTTTTTTACGATTAGATTTAATAACCTTTATTTTCAGCAGCATAACTTTTACATGAATGTGCCAAGCATATTTTATTTGACAAATGTCCGCTCGATTATGCCAATTATTTCCATTTGAACCACTCATTGCTGCATTATTTCGTCATTACAGGTTGATCTCGACTTGGGTCAAGGAGGAGTGTACGAAAACCAACCAATTCGACTGCCCAACGTTATCCGTCATGGTGAACTGGAGGGTTCTGAGCCAGTTATTGATCTGTCTCAGGCGAATACAGTACGCGTCGGCCTTGAGCGCATCAAGGCGCTTCAGGAGGAGAAGAAAAACTGGAAAGGTGAAAATAGGGTAAGCGAACATTTGGATTTGAGGTGTGAAAATGGAAAATCATAAGTGGCCGTATTTAGGCGAATATATGGTTAATTTACTTTGGTCGACAGGGCCATTATGCCTGTTTGATAAGTGCACTCATCGGCATTTCAGAAACTTGAAAGAGGCATATAAAGCGATCACTTAAATTGTCCTGTCTAAATGCATGAGATAGATAAAATTGGCTCATAAAATTTCCCGGGTTGGAATAAAATCAGAGGCCTTTTTTTGTTCTCTACCAAATTATTCCTGATACTAGAGTTAACTTTTAGAAATTGCTAACCTTTAGATAATACTTTACCCTATGTTTGGTCGAAGACAATAATCGGATGCTCCATCAGTATTCGTATGAAAAAAGGCTATCTTTATAGGACCAATTTCTCATACTTCTCTACGGAAAAGTGCACTTTTCAAAGAAGCTATCCGGTAACTAATTGCTATGGTCGCAACTGTTCATAAATTCTGTGTAATTTTTGTACAAGAACTTTGTCACCATAGGTCAATTAAGATGATTTAAGGATGGATAATAGAGTTTTTCCAACATCGCTATTAGTAGGATTCCCGAGGTCATTGAAATTCGCTCCCAAAAGTTTTTCACATCTCGGCCATCAAGGTTCAATGACTACAGCACTACCTCTATGTTTTTTAACTATCATTTCGATTGTGGACACACGTCTTGCTATGTTGGTGAGCTTCTTGTCTTAATATGAGAGAGAAAGAGTGGGCGAAAAGTACAGAGAAGTGACCGTGATAAGAACCAAGACAAGAAAAGACTGGTCGAGTCGCCTCCTTCTTGCAGGAGCCCAACACCCTCTATACCATTGAGTCTAATAATTAAGCACAAGTAGCTTTTTCTTAACTTCTTACCGGTATTCCTTACATTCAATCTATTCCATATTTGGTTTATTTCGATGGCTTCTTTACTGTTAAGCTTAGCCGGAGACATGTCATAATCACCAATAGAAAAATGTGAAACCATTCAATCTCATGCACAGTTTCTGCCTTGTGCTCAGCTAGCTCCGATTTTTTAACCCAGCAGCCTCAATCGGAGCTTTTGTATTCTGCAACCTTAGGTCGAATGGGACGATAAATCTATCCAACGTAAAAGTTACTACATGAACACCTTATTTTGTAGCAACCCGATCTGGATAATGGGCATAACTGAAGAAAGTGTCGTAGTTTCCCTGAAAACCGTTTTTATTCCCCAATTTCTTACTAGATCGTCAATCTGTTTAGACAGAATACCCAAGGGCAAAGACAAAACATGGGAAAAGGTCTCCTTATCCCTCCTTACGAATAAACCATTCAAAAAGGTATTCTTTATTAATCTAATTTTATTTTCAATCCGACCTAGGAGATAATTATTCTCGAGAAAATTAGTTTGAGCCGATCCAGTTCATTATCACACTGATCTCTATCGGCCATTTTAATGCCGATTTTAAAACGCATTGTTACTATGCTTTGTAACTATGGCCGGATTATAAAGTAAGGAAAATGCCAGTGTGTTGGCTTTTTATATACATCTATGCTTAACTTTTTAACTGCTCTAATCATTAAAATATCCAAAAAAGGCAAATTATTCTCCTTCTCTATTTAAATTTTCAATTTTATATTTCAATCAATTTGGTTAATTAAGAACAATAATTTATCTAGACTATCATTATAATGCTGCCACATGGCAAAGTAGTCATTCATACATATAACTAACAGTTTTGGTGTCAATCTTACTTCTTCCATGAAACATTCCTCAATCTTTGGCGTGTAATTATTTACTAAAATGGGAGCTAAACAAGATCTCATTGGCCTTTCATCTGTTCATAAACCTTACCATTAAATTGAAGATGTGAAAACCAAGATGTTGTGGCCTCGGGTATGGTCGCAGTCTCCTTTCGACTTATAGAAGTGGGTTGACCTCGTTGTCTTGTGTTCAGGGAGACTATGTAGAACGCACCGAGTCCGAAGTCGTCTGCCATAGTAGAGGGTAAGGAGAAGATAGATAGGCCAGGACAGAAAGAGAAGTGATAGTGTAACCGTTTTTCAGCAGAACGTTTGTCGAGGGATTGGCTTCACTTTCCTGCTCATGGGAATCATGACAACTACTATGACAGACGACTTCGGACTAGGTGCGTTCTACATGGTCGTCAAAGAGACGAGTTCGTATCTTGTTTTTCAGCAGAACGTTTGTCGAGGGATTGGCTTCACTTGTCTCTTTGACGAGTTCGTAGCTTGGTGCCGCAGAATGGCAAGTCTCACTGATGATGCCGACTACGATGCCGGCGAAACGTCTGAGAATGTATCAAGTCCACAGGATGGCAAGGCTCACTGATGATGCCGACTACGAGGCCGGCGAAACGTTTGAGAATGTATCAAGTCCACTGTCGGATGCTGGGAAAAAAGACAACTACTATGGCAGACGACTTCGGACTCGGTGCGTTTTATATAGTCTCCCTGAACACAA